AAGAGTGCATTGAAGACTTAGAGATGAACTTCAAAGAATACTTCCTTGTGTTTAAAAGAAAGTGTCTGTATTCATATTTACTCAATAAACTTCACCGTTGCCATGTCAAGAAGTATTTCTCTGTACCTACAATTGTCACTATTTTTCAGTTACCCAAGCGATACTCGTAGCGTTGTTATACAAGCCCCAAAGCGATTTTTTTTTCAAACTTCTATATACATTTCACCCTAAACAAAAAACATCTGGGAACCATGCAAAAAGAGCTTTGTACCATTTCTCTTGGATTGAATACTGAAAGCCACACAGATCTTTAGAACGGAGCGGCTCAGTAACCAGAACAGGAACTCCAACAGGGTCAGTGAGCAGAAACTCTGATCCCAATCGCAACGCTTCATCTTACACCTAATCTAGTGCAAAAGAGACAGCCCTGCTTTCCCTTTCCACTCCCCAGAAGTATTTCTCTCCCAGTGGATCTAACTGCTGCACAACCACAGGGAGAATCAGATAATCCCAGTATTTGAACAGAAAACTGTTCATTTTTGGAGTGTTTTCTATCAGGTCAGCTGACTGATCTTACTCTGTAGACTGAAACTACAATGTAATTTCTTAAATAAAGAAAACCAAAAAACTGTACAAACCAATTTCTTACTTTTCTTCACAAGCTCTGCTATCAATACTGCAAAAATATATAGCTGTTTAAAGAGCTGGGTTTTTAGGACAGATTAATGTGTTCTCCTTCTGTAAACACAAACAAAAGGAGTGTATCCAAAACATCTACGTTTAAGATTATCCTATCGATGACCATCGATGCACAGCTGCCACTATATTTCTCTCAGATACACTTCCGACAACGCATCTGCAGTTAAACAAATAAAGGACTATCTACCTCATGGCCCTTACTGTTTTTATTATCTTTTCTATCTCTTCAGCCATTAATAAGAACCACATACCCACCAATAATGATGATCCTTTATTAAGACTATAAAATACGGAGATAAAGGGTGTCGATGTTATTTCTGAAGAGGTGCTATTCCAGTGGCAGCGCAAGAGAAGAAAGAAGTTGGGTTTTTAATGCTTCATTGCTAGAACATTGTTGAAATCTTATGGGTTTTGCTGTTTAAACTGAATTTCCATGTAAAACAAAGCTTTGTTATCTAAACTGAAAAAATACTACTGGTTAAATCCTGTGGAACATGATTCTGTGCTATTTACTTTTCTACTTTTTATTCAGCAGGTAATATGAAAAACGAGACACGCAGCTTATGATCAGAATAAAATCCTGGCACTAATTAATTTAGTGACAGAATCTCACTCCGTCCAACAAGGTTGTGGTTTCATTTTGATGACACTGGGACTGGCTGCTGTGGCCCACTGCTGTCCTACCTAAATAATGATTACCTTTTCTTCAGGAATCCTGCAGCGCATGTTCTCCAAGTAACTTGATGTATTTTCCACGTTTGTATACCTCAAAAGAATATGGGCAAAGTCTTCCTCGCTGATGGTGTTCATTCCATTAGAGTAGGAAAGGAATTCTATCTCTAGAACCTCAGTTTGTAGGTTATCCATAAATCTAAAACACAAACACGAAGAAATAGTAAGATTTTACATTTCTACTATTCATGTCCTTAAAAGCCTTGCAGCATATAAAGCCAAATACCATTACACAAATCAGTTCCCTTTTCATAGGACTGATGGTAAATTTGGTAAGTCCCTTACCTGTGTTGACATATTTTCTAATCAATACAACAACTGTAATTCAAAGATCAAGTGTCTTAGTAAAAGTGACTTAATACATTTCCAGTTTACTTCTGGTTTGTGTGTGCTTAATTTTCTTCTTCAGTGGGTCACTGATCTTTATTTCTACATGACAGACTGAAAATTCCATCATGGTGCTAAATGAATTCCCAAAATTTACTCCCCATATAGTTATTAAACTTTTTAAAAATACTTTACTATTCTTATGATAGTTATGTAAACTCTTCCCAAATTAACAACATATTTAGTAAATTCTGGACACCAAAACTGGATAAAGTATAAACCCAGCTATATATAAAATGGAAATCCAAGTTCCCTAACTCTACTTAATGTCTTACTTATACAGCCAAGGATGAAATTAGCTCTCTGGTCCCAGGACTGCCCTGGGAGCTCATGTTCATCTGGTGGTCAACCGTAACCGGTAACACTTCCCTGTTACAGGTTCCCAAGAGTTCCCTCCTGTAGACATTGCCTGAAACACTCCTTCCTGATACACAACTTGACTTGTAAGAACTCTGAGGAGCTCAAATCTAAAGGACGTAAGCGTAAAATCTAAAGTGTAATCTAAAGCATAAGCGCAAGGTAAACATACAATAGTATTTCCCTCGTCAATCCACAGTTTAATGATTTTTTGAGCTGGTAAAGCAGCGTTGAATAAAACTTGATGGATCCCTCCTTCATGAATGCGTCTCCTACGCTGTGACCTCTTCAGCATTCACAACATCTTACAGCAATAGACAGACATTTTAACTAGATGCCTTTTGAAAAAGTACCTTCTTTTCTGGCTTTTGTTTTGAACTCACATCATGATTCCATTTGATGACACTGTTTTTATATTATGTGCAATACTGAAGATTTTTCGTGACATAATTTTAAGGCAGAATATTTTGCAAATGTCTGATTGATAAGAACACACAGCTGAGAGTTAAGGAGAAGGGCAATAGGCAATGGGAGCATTTACTGAGGAAACAATAACCAAACACATCTCTTTCAGTCACACAGAAAGAGTTTTATGGCAGTCTCCCTATATTTTTAAATACTATTTTAACTAGCATAATAATAAAGCCAATAGCTTCCACTGTGTTTACATTTTTTCCCAGAAGAAGCCTGTTCTAAGATGCTCACACAGTATCCTCAGAAAAACCTTTAAATATGTCCCAAAGAGCAGAGACGCAAAGTTTTTCTTAAACCTCTGGCAAATAAATATAATCCAAACCCAAGAAAAAAATTCCTACATAAGGACGAGGTTGGGGTACAAGCCCTCTACCCCAAACCAACTATGCCCCCAAGTGCTACCAAATTTGCAAATGCAGCGGAATTAATACAGGACTTTTTATGGTTGGTCTACTTATTGCTTTATTTTGGTTTTTGTATATATCACACACACAAAGGGAACATAAACTTTATATACATGTCTACATAGACTATGTGGATAGTAACATAACACACGTTAATTAGAACAAGCATGCAAGTATTTTTTTACAAGGAATTATTAATGTTGAGACTTACCTATAAAAATCTTCAAAGTTCAGTTCAGCTTTTCCTTTCTTGCCAAAAAAGTGTACAAGCAATGTGGTATCTGACAGTGAGCTTGAAATATCATCAGCACGCTTAAATATCAGAATAAAAAAAATTAAAGGCCACGAATGGATCAGTTACAGAGTATAATCTGAGAATCATCACAATAGAACTATCTATTAAAAGAGTTTGTGTTTTCTGTTCAGCCTTAAAAAAAGATTTTAGTATTAAAAACAAATTAATTTAGTCATGCTACTTTCATGCAAAATAGCATTAGGCTGTTAACTGCATTTAGTAGAAAACACGTAAAACAACAATATAATATAAAGGAAGCTGTAATGAAGGGGGAAAACATGAAAAATAAAACCAGAAACTCTTGAGGAAAAAAAAAAATGTTGAGTCAGTTGAGGTAAATCATAAAAAGACTCCCTTTGTATACAATCTCCTTTCCTTTCTACTATGCAACTACAAAGAAATTCAAGGAAGTTGCTTCATATTTTTGTATTTGTATTCCAAAACCAGCTGCATCAGTCAGGTGTACTTCATAGGAGTCTTTTCTATAAGTAGCAGGTGCCTACAGCTTAAATATTATTGCCCAAATCTATTTTAAACAACAAACTTGTAAGAAATTTTGAAATAATGAAGTAATATTTAGACTCATTCTCCTAAGAATGTTCCTCACCTACCCAGTACATGATCTCTGTAAACAGGAATCTTTGAACATGTACTAATACTTTTTTGAACATGTACTTATTACTTTTTAATACTAAAACTAAAACCTTTTCTAACAACAAGAGTTATAAATAGGAAGACACACATATAAACAGAAGTAACTATCACCTGTGTAGAGTCACTGTGCAACATTCCACTTTTTTACTACATATTCATTGCCCTTAACAGTCACGTATGTGCTTTGATTTTTCCTTTGACAAAAAAGTCTTGATATACCAAAGAGCTAAAAAAATAATTCACTAACAGAAGGCTCTTAAATGAGCCATAGTATTCTACCATGGCAAAGTCCTTCCGGCATTAAGATGCATCTGTCAACATTTAAGATTCAAAATGTAATATATTTAGTCTCCTTGATGCACCTGCCTAGGGAGAACCTTCTGCCTGAGCTCTCATTTTTCTTAAAAGGCAAGATCTAGCAAAAAGCATAGAGCGGGAGCCAGTAGTCTCCACTCCTCCTAGGCAAGCTACCACCCATCAACACCACCGTCTTTTTGTGGAAGTGTGCCTGCTAACTCTATCGTTAAAGCAGGAACACAGTATAGAAACCTAGTGAGTATGTGGAAGATGTAACAGTACTAGTTTATCTCCATAATGATAGATTATAAACCTGTGGGATTTACTGTAAGTACAGAAAACTGTTTATGCAGATCTATAAAGACCTGCATACTCACACCTGCAAGCTGCACTCAGAGTCCTTTAAGTCTGACTTTATTTCCTAACTGAAGAGGCTATAAAATTGTAACAGATGGAGAAACTCTAAATGAAGAAACTATGAAGAACTTTTGAACAGTTTGCAGTAGTTGAACATCACATACCATGAAAAACCATTTAATATCTACATTCTCTGAAATAGCCTGTATTTTTAAATTTACATATTGATTGGAAAAAAATGTAAAATGCAATATCCACTAAGAGTATTTATGTATCAACAACAAGGAAAAACGTGAGGCAGTAACAACACAAAACCTTTCCTTTCAACATCCAAGAACCAAAGTAATGACAGAGTCTTTTCTGTACTTCAGTATAATCAGCTTAGAATTCTCAAGATTGTATTTCATGTCCTCTAGCTTCCTCTTTATTCTCATATTCTTCTCCAGGGAGAAATAAGACGACATAGCGTATACATAGGTAGGGAGATATTTCATGTCCTTCAATTAAGACAGCTCTTCTCTTCGAGTGAGCAAACTAATTCAGAAAAGTAATCACTATTTGTCTTTTAATATTGTTGCCCTCGACTACGGGACACAATATACTGAAATGCAGATACCCTGATTTCTTATGTCTTTTAAGCAATTAAATCCCTAAGCACATTCAAACAATTTCCCTCAAGTACACTGAAAAGATATCAAATGTTAAATTACAGCCTTTCATCTTGCAAAAACATTTCAAAACCTTAGACTTAGGTTGCATTCATCCATATCTAAAGAACCATTTAAAAAAATACAATCTGTAAGTCTTTTCACAATTCCCATTTGGTCAGCCCGACTAAATGAAAAACTCCTAAACAAAAACCTCACCCCAGAAACTCAACCCAGCATGCTTCTCTGCAGAACTGCAGGCAACTGAAAACCACTCCTGTGCTGCTCCTGCAGGGAGATCGTTATATAAATTCTGTCTCTTAAGGGGTAAAAACAAAGGCCTTAATAATTTAAAGCTATTATTTATTGTTCATAATAAAATGAATTTTGTGGTTTAGATCAGCGAGAATGCAATGACGACACCTGTTTCCATATATACAAATATGAGACTTTATTTTGAAGTCTTACAAATTCTCTTTACTTTTACACTAACTGCAGTACAAATACAGGTAAAGAGACAAGTAGGAGAGACAAGTGTTTCATCACATTAGTGGCTTGCTGTGCAATGGCAACATCTTTCCTCTCGATTTCCTAACCTGAAGAGCAGTAAATATGTTTTTTTTTTTTTTAAATATTCTGCAACATTAATTTTAAGCTTTTTATTAAAGAAGGTTGAGTAAAAGTTAAACTCATGAGTGATGGTCCACTTGCAGCAACGCATTCTGAAAATGATGTATATTATGCTTTGGGTTAGTAAGAGCCTCTTACTGCAAGTCCTTGGTTTTTCAATAGTGATAACAACCCTACCGATCTCCTGTTTCATTTAGTAATTTAAGAATAAACCCACAAATTGAACTCAGTGGTAAATATTCCAAAAGGATGGTGTAGCAGCTTTAAATAAGGAATAGCAGAAACAATACTGTAAACTGTCCTAGAAAGAAACTGGCTGTGATGAATAACTTCTTTTCCCCCCAAAGAGACCTTGTAAGTTGATTCTCATAACAACGAACCTTATTTACTCTCCTTTTCAACTTACACAAGGCCTTCTCAAAAGGCTACAAAACAACACAGACTCCAGTGTCACCAAGCTTTATGCCACTTTCTTAGTACAGTGGCTACAACATCATTCAGATGTGAGACTATCTGGGAGAGATAAGCGCACAGATGAAAGCCAGCCGGCTCAAACTTAAGCCAAGTGAGATAAAAATGATTATGGTGAGAAGTGGGAAATTCTCAGTGGAGCAGATGAAGGGTATAGAGGGTTTTTTTATCATAAAATGAATTAGAAGTGAGCAGAGAGACTTTTTATACGTTTTACAGACAATTTAAATCAATATTTAATACAGCTGCTGTTTAGCTTCAATTAAACTGTAGGTTACAGACACCGGGCTGAAGGCATCAGTCGTAAAAAATCTTCTCTCTTCAAATTAAAGGCATGTAGAAATCAACAAGCTTAAGTCTATCTATCCTTGGGACTGAATTCATGCCAACTAACTGCAGGTGAAGACAGCAGTTCATTCAGACAGCTCAGTGCCCAAGCTCCTCAAATAGTCACTGCAATGAGAGGTACTGTCTCTCCCCTCTGAGTCTCCCGTAGCTGGCTAGACGGGAACACTGATGTTCTAGGTTTTAAAAAAATTTGGTGCAATAAACAAGGTCTAACAAGTGGACTAACAGCTCAGGAGCTCTTCAGTTTAGAAACAAGGAAAGAAAGGCTGGGTATACTGCTCTGTTGCAAGATTACTATGAACGCATGATTATTAAGAATATTGCTATAAATATTGGCCTAATCCTTACTTCTGTCCCTAGGCAAATGAACTCAAGCCGAGAGAGGTACTGAGAAGACCTGTTTGATACTTGGGAAATGCAGGTTCTACCTTAAGAGAAAAATCAAAGACCTTGTTTTGTTTAGCCTATGGTAATTAAAACTATGGGCGATGACTGCATTTATAAATGCAGCCATGAGCAAAAAGATTAACACTAAGGAAGAAAAAGCCTATGAAAATTAAGGGACACCACACTGGTATAAAGGGACTATGAGTAAATTTAGCCTGGAAATTAGAAAAAGTCCAAGTTCTCAGGTTATTCAATAGCTTCTGCAGAGGAACAGCAGGGACAAAACACTAATTACTTTTAATATGGAGCACACATTGCTTATGAAGCAAAGAAGAAGATTGTTTTACCCTTCAGGTCCGTTTCAGTTCCATGTTCTTTTCTCATTATGATCCTGCTTATGAAGCATGGGAATTGAGACCAGAGAGTCAGTGGGGAGTTGCTGTGTATCCTTTAATACCACCAGAGAGCAGAGCAATCACCCTCACTGTATGGGGCACAGAAAGGCCTTAATGATCTAGTTTTCGAACCCTCTTAAATGTTCAGTACTAAGAAATATCTTACCCAATTAGCTGCAAGTGTATCATGAAACAAGAATCTGATTAGAATCTAAACAACTATGGAAATTAATTTGACAGCACAGTGATACTGCTAGTCCTCCGTAAGGATTGTGAAATACTCACAGACTGCTGTCGTTACCTTAAAACATTTCCAGTTCAACTGAACAATTAAACCAATCTTTGCGTGATACTGTTTTTGTGAAGATAAGCTTTGGTAACATACAGAAAAAGCACATTAAGGACCTAAACATTAAAAGCTTAAAGGGCTGCAACTCGCATTAAAATTGTCCCATCACTGGACGAAGTCTAAATGACAAATGTTTCCTGACTTATTTCTCTAACTGTGAAATACTGTCACTGCTAGTGTCAGAAAACGTTTTTTTTTTACAGTAAGGACTGAAGAGGACTCAATCTTTTAACTCTTTCAAAATGTAGCTTATACTTGGAAATGACAACTCTGAATTATCGCACTGCATGGTACCAAATCAATTTCATCTGAGAACTTCTGGGTTTAAAAAACCAATAAATAAAAGGAAGAAAAGAAACAAAGTGCATAAAACAGGAAAAGAAACAGAACAGAAATAAATGAAAATAGTAGTCTGTTTATGGACCAGAGACAGAGGTTGGCTTATACCTCCGCAAGGTCCGAAAAGAGTGCTTGGCTTGTGCTACGCCTCAAAGTATCCCAATAGCTTCTGGGGACAAGGTCCTCTCCTTCTGTTTTAAGAACCTGCAGAAGTTTCAAGAAGCACAATTGTTTGAAAACCAAAGAACAATAAAACATATGCTTACAGACTTCAAAATCTTTTCCAACTGTTCTTCAAAAGCATGGCTCTACACAGAGAAATTTCTACCCAATTACATGACACTTTGTAAATCAAAGGACCATTAGTATATTACAGTTATTTGCTTATTAGTCGTAACTTGGCTGTGCCAAAAGTATCACCAGACTCCACTTTCCCAATAAAAATAATTTAGAGAAAATATATATTAAAACTACATGTGAAAATGTCCTCTAAACTCAGCATTTTGCTGTTATTTTTCCCAACATTTTGCCAAAACCCATTAATTTATATTTTTATTATATGAAATTTGTTTTCCCAGTGGTCAAAATAGAAATGCTACCATCCATTTTGTTATATAAAATTAATTTCATCCAATAATCAGAATGACATCCTTCCAACAATAAAGGCAAAAAAAAAAGCCTAGTAAGTCCAACTCCAACTGTAACATACTTATCAAGAGAACGCTATGCACATCTGATGATCAAACTTACCGTGTTTAAATAGCAAGTAAGTGTGTAATCTCCCCAAAATCCCTCCAGCTTACCTTTTTCCTCTGAAATGTTTCATATTTGGAAGCCTGAAAAATCCTCCCTTATTAAAACAGGACTTCCTTTATGTTGCAATTAGTCTTGGAAGATCTACCAAATACATTTCTTCCTCCACCCCACACCCCCAAGAATCTAGGAGAGGTGATGCTAAAGAGAGCAGGTGGCTATCTGAACTCGGTTAGGGTTATTGCAACTGAATGAATTTTCCTATTTCCCTCCAGAAGTCAATGTAAACAAGGTCGTCTACTTGTCTATGTTCAGGGCTTCTCGCTTACGTCCATCTGGGCATGCAAGACGGACACAATGCATTTAGTCTTCTAACTACAAATCAAAACTTTTTTTTTTTTTGAGTCAGCCTGTCCTATTCTTAGATTTACACTGATGTGACTGTTGTACAATGTGTAAATCTGTATTGTTATCATAAAGAACATTGCACAGAGTTGAAGGTTTATTATCTCTATGTACTCCACATTATGTCAATCATAGAAACATAAATTTAATTCTTCAAACAGTTGAAATATAGTAAGAATTCTATTATTCTATTTTCCCTTAATGTTCTGTAGCACAGTATCTCCTCAGGTAACAGGTCTTCCAACATGCTAACAGTACATCCAGCAGGGATACACAGTTGCATGAGTGAAGAAGGGCTCTTCTCAATGTAATGGGGCCATCTTGTATTAGTTTACTTCAACTATATTTTACATATTTATAAAAATGTCTCTGTATATCAATGATTATGTAAATTGACACTGTATACAAATGATGCTCTTTGTACTAGAGAAAAAATATTTCAGCAGTAAGTCAGTATGTAACTTTAAAAAAAAAGATAAAAATGCATGAAGACATTAAATATGCAGTGTGTCTGGCTGCAGAGCACTACAATATATTTGCTGGAAGGAAATATGTTAAATAATTTAAAACTTTTTTCAACCTGTGTACCGCTTCTACAAGTTCTATTATGGACTTTCTTGCCTAACCAGTTCAACTCAGCTCTTTCTGTAAACTGTCACTAAAGAAGCATGACAAACTACCAGGAATTATACCCTTGCTTAAAGTATATCCTAACTCTGTTTCAGTTTTGAAAAATTCTGGTTTTATCTTTCTTTTATTTCGGAGTAAGAGTTCCTCCACTGTGGCCACAGTATTCTCATATATGTAATTCCACTCAGTCCTGAACTGCTAAACACAAAGATATTGGTTTACTTCAGTGCATACAGGATTAGGTCCTTAAGGCTTCAGTTTCCCTCTTACATTTACCTACCCCTTTGTTATTTACTGGGTCACGTGTATAAACACCATCTCAACCCTTTATCTACCAAATAATGTAATATAGCTATTCTAAGTATTTACTGAATTTGTTCTGTTACTGGAGATTTACTTTAGCTAATGGAATTTGTATTTCTGGGCATGCACATTTTATTTTCCTTACACGCATCTCATTGTAATTACCATGTTCCGCTTGGCATTTGGCTAGTAAGGGCACTCATGCAATACATGCTGAAGCAGTCTTAACACACAACTGCAGTATGCTCCAGAACATGACTTGAGAGAATTAACCTACGCAAATGAGAAGACAAAAATATTTCACCTATTTAGAACTTCACTTGTATGCACCCGATGGCTTATAGACCTTAACGCTTCCCAAAAAATTAGAACTGTTTGGAATGATGAAGTGAGGAAAAGGGCCCCACATAGCACTTTGGGCTATCCCAGACATTTCAGGGCTCCTTGGTCTTGAGTATCTTCAACTCCCTAGGACATCAAGGGAAACTGAAAAGGTTGCTATCATTCTTGTTTCAGTAGGAGAAATAGAAATGAAAAGTATCAATATTCTGGGGTTGGGGCATCTGCTGGATACTGTGAATTCCTGTACATCTGAGTCTCCTTTGCGTGGAGACCTCCATTCAGGTTGTAGAAGGGCAGGAAAAGATGGTGCACACGTGGGCATGATCTTGGTACAGACTTAGGATGCGGCTGGAGGGGACCAGAAGGAGATTTTTTTACTAAACCTGAAAGCTACTGTATGTGGAGGAAAGCCTTACTAGTTTGGCTTCGGTTTAAACCAGGAGGCAGCAGAGGAATATGGCAACCCCTGTACGGCAGCCCCTTGCACTGCACTAAAGCCTGATCTAAAATCCACTGAGGTGTAAGGCCTCACATCTCCCACTACATTCCCGTCCCAAAACTGCAGCACCTACAGCGTGCCACGGCACCTTTTCATTCAACAGACTTCCTTCCTCCATACCCCCCAAACTGTATGTGCCAGCTCCACAGGAAATGAATCTGTGCCTTCCTGTGAAGGATTATATACGGAAATAGACTTTAAAACTGTAATATCACTAATTCTCCTAGGTTCCCTCCCCTCACTTTGAAAACCACAATAATCATACCGAAAAATGCTTCATTCTTTTATATTAACATCATATCAAACCTTTTTCCCAACAGTTTTACTTCTGCTGTGATCCAAAAACTAATCAGGGGAGGGTGAAGACCTTAAAAAACCCAGATGATCTCTCTCTTGCTGCTTCTCTCTCCCACCCCTCAATAAATGATTGAATGTATTTTTACCATCACCTACGTAATACAGGGACTATTTTCTCTAAAAACTTATTCTAGTTCAGCACTGAAATTTCTTACTTGTTTATTCTGTAAGTGAAGCACAAAACCATAAAAGCTCTCTTCTGGTTTCTTTTTATTTGCCTAACTATTACTTCACATGATACACACGGAGACAAGACAGACCTGGATCATATGCCTCATGCAGGATGACTTAATTTACATACATTAATTAAAACCAAGTCTATAATTTCTGAAGATATACTTTGTCCTTTCCCTTAAAAATATTGTTTCCTTCATTTTATGTACACAGAGACAGCAACCTTTCCTCCTGGAGGCTTGCCTCTTTCAGAATACATGCAACAAGCAGGCACAACCTCTGATGCAAGTAAAGATCCATCACATCCTTACTGACTAGCAGAAGTCATTTACTTGACAAAAAAGATACAAGAAACAGTAAATTTTCTTATAGCACATTATTTCACCTCACCGGTGAAGACTGCATAAATTGAAAATAATTAGAGTACATACACTGTTAGTAGGAGTATGATATCCATAAAGTTGAAGACGCTGACATACAGCAAAAAACAGGCCAAGCCAAGTATCACATGTCAGAATGAAGCCAAAAGAAGGAAAAAAAAAAAAAAAAGACAACAGAATAGGTTAAGATAAGTAAATTTTATATATTATTAGATTTTTTGTGTTTGTTTTTAAAATGACAATGAAGAAAAAATGGTTTATTTTCAATCTCATTCTTTACATTTTCAAAAGAGAAGTACAGAGTTGCAGAGATTATGCCCAGCAGAAATGTTCCATTTCATAATCTTTACTTTTTTCCAAAAGCTCTTCTTTTGGGTGTACGTTTCCTTTGTTCAGAATAAACTGTGTGTGAGAGATTCAACAAGTGACCTACAGTTTTGGAAAGTTGAGAAGGACAGGACTCTCTGGAGCAGCAGAAAAGATCCTTTTTATGCTCAGGGAAGGCTTGTAAAGTATTGATTCTTGAAATTCAAACTTCCTGTGGTTTCAGGAACAAAGATCAAGATCTGATATCAAGCATCTGTGGTCCCAAAAGGATAGTGGGCACTATGAGAAGCATTGCATATATGTAAAAATGTTTCTTATCTTACGGAATTTTTTGCCATAAATATACAAATAGCAACTGCACATGTGTTTTTCTGCTGTGGGCTTGACAGAGACTTATCCCTAATTTTGACTTGTCCAACAGTAAATTCCTGCTACCACTGCCATCCTCCAGACAAACCACCACAGACTTGTCTGTTTCAGACTTACCTTTCTTGGGCACATATGAAATCCAAATTTGGTATTTAATAAGAGTGAGCATTTAATATTCCACAAAAATCTATTCACATAACATAAACAACTAAAATAATTTTGCATTGGTCAAACAGTATTTAGTAAAAAAATTAAATTTTAATATAAAATCTAACTTCATTAAAATCAGCCATTTAAAAATTTCTGTGTTAATAACAAGCATCAGGATCAGTATGTTTCCATGAACAGTTTCCACCAGTTACGAGAGCAGGAGTACAGTTTGGTCTTGCTGCAGAGATCTCTCACTCTTACAGACAATAACACTGGGTCATTACTATTCACTCTTCCTACATTTATAGATTTCAAATGGAATCAATGCTACTGTCATAACATGCAATACAATATATAAACACTGATTTTTCTTTCCTATAGATAATTGAAGTATATTTTTTCAATAACTGCAGTTTAAGCTAAACATTTTCTTCTTTATATAGTTATACATATTATTTCAATTAAATGAATTTATTGTTTAAAAAAATGGACAGTGATTAGTGAAATATATACACATGCACAATTTTGTCCTACATCAAAGGAACCAAATCAACTGCCAGCTGCAACTATTCTAATTTCACTTACCAGCATTGCACGTTTTTCTTCATCTCCTTTTCTTTCTCTCTTCTCATTTTTTTTCCTGAAAATCTCTTGCAGCTAAAAACCAAACCATTTTGTTGTTATTTACTTTTCAGGCTACTTCACACGCATAACAATCATGCGTGAGGAACACTGCAAACAGCATTAAAATACACTTCTTTACTAAAAAAATCAGTGTTTCAATGATGCTTTACTGCTCAGATTCATGACTTTATGTTCCTTCTGTCACCTTAACCATCACACAGAAAGGAAAAAGGACATCTTTATTTCCAAAAAATAAGGCTAATGATTTTATTTGGGAGCACAATACTAAGAACACCCTATTCAGCTTTATATTTCAGCCAACCAAACTTATACAAAAAGGGGGAGTTCCAGCCTTTTTCACCCCCTCCTTTCTTGTCAGATACTAATTAGTATCTGTGTGGCCATGTAGGCAGCTGGATCAATCTTTTTTTCATATTGTTAAGTTTCCAACCAGATCAGTCCTTACTCCTGCTGGCACAAGGGAAGGGTGGAAACACCTGGTGGGGGTGAAACATTCCCCTTCAGCAGCAACAAACTACTGCTCAAGAGTCATTTATCAAGTAACATTTTTTTTCAACTCTGTTCAAAGAATACCTTCAGGTCTTGTAAAATACCCCTTTCACAACTTTCTCTACATTAAGAGCTTTAAACATGACTTCTGAGAAAACCTCAAATACAAGATTTAAAACATACAGAGATTATTAAACATATTTATTTTGGGTAACCACAGCCTTCAGACTAAGAAATGGTCTGTACTTATCTTTCTTTGTAAGTATCTGTATTCTTAAAATATTGTTATTTATCAGAATACTCGTTATTTATAGGAATAATCATTCCAAATCATTAGAAAAAAGTGACACCTTGTTTACTCTTTTACAGGAGGCAAAGCAGCATTAACTATGAACCCATCTACATCTCTACCAATGAACTTGTCAAAAACTACACCTGAAAATACTGTGCTGCCACTTGTAGCATTTGCTAATCTCCAAACAGCTGAAAAAAGACTAAACACTGCGGCTGACAAATCCACAATATGGTGTTTTCAGAACGAACATCATGGCATACAGACGGTGGCACCATAAATACTCAGTTGTGGCAGTCGTCTGAAGGACCTGACTCTACCTACCAGAAGTCTGATAAAAACCTGATACTGTAATGACATGCACACAGAGCTCCCCAGGGATCGGAATGTGAAAGATGAAGTGTGCGTGATAAATTCTGCAAGCAAATTTTCCAGATTTAATTTCAGTATTCCATATTTCAGAGAAGGTGGTGACTAAGACAAAGGGATCACCAAACTCTCCTGTAGGGTTACAACCACCTTGAAATACATCAACAGAGTGTTGAGCAATTAAATAGAAAATGCTATTTAATAAATATTTATAAAGAACATTTTAGGAATTTCCAAAATTGACTACTGGAATTGCCTAGAAGGCAAATACAGGCCAGAATATTGTGTGTGTCACTGTATCTATTTTTGAGTACGGGATCGATTTATCGACCTTGATATGTTTTTCCTAAATTTTTGAAAACCTATGGGTACAAATTACTGTAAGCTATGCTGACAAGGAATGAATCATGATAAGAGATTTATCCCGATGGCCTAGAGTATTACACATTTTGCAACCCAAAACTGTGGAAAGAAGAAAGGTAAATGAAGAGAGAGAAGTAGAAAGAAAATACCTTGTCAAAAGTGCAACCCATGAAGCAGGAGAGAAGAGTGGCATTAATTGAAAATTAAAAGAAGATTGGTAAAATGCAATGGATCCTTGGATGTATTCCCCCTGCCACAGAGGCAAAGGGAGAAGGATTCTGTTGCATCCATCATCAAAGCACTTGCTAAACTTCTGGAAATGGATCTTTTGTTCAGAGGGAGTGCTATAGGATACCAGTGAGTAGAAAACTGAATGCAAAAAGGATCTAGGAGTTACTTTCATAGGAACATTGTTTGAAACAGGATAATGAGATTGACTGCTGAAAGCAGCAAAACCAAGATCTCCTGTAACAAGGGAATACAATCCTTCTGTTCCTTGACCTCACCTTTATGACATAAGCGAAGAGGAAAGCACAAACACCATGGAATTAGTTTACAAAAACACTAAAGCTGTTATCAGAAAAACTAAGTATTTTTGAACTCTTCACTACACGTACTCTTTCTGTTTTAGAACCACGTAACGTGATTCCTGCACCAATCTCTTCAGTCTCTATCTGCAAAACCCAATCGTATTAGCTGTAATTCCAGTTTTACAACAACTGACTAATCAATGGAACAATATTCTGCAAATGCTGTATGGCAACACGCACAGCCTCCTGCTTGCGGGCACACAGTCGATGATGCAAGCAAGGTGAGTACAGGTGCCAAACCTATGTTCTAGGGCCTGCTCTATCACAGCTGCAGCATCACTGAATCAACTTCTATTTTCACATTTACACAGACATTATCTATCTACCTACCCACCTATTTTAGTCTTTCTCACTTCAGATCTAGCATTCTGACTTACGGGTTTTGACCTAATTTTTGAAGGGTCACTGACACAGTAATCAAAGAGAGTTAGGGGCAGCTTTAATCTATACAAATTTGTTAAATACAATTATAGGTGAAGAACAGTACATCTAATGTCTGAAAAGTCTCCTTCTTTCTTCTAGCCACTGAGTCTGGTCACAAGAAAAGAGTAAGAAGGAGAAATTTCTATCAGGGATCATGACAGAGAACAAATAAAAAGTAAGACAAACAAATAAAAAGAGGACTATAAAAGCATAGTTATGAAAAGAGATGCAGTATCCATAGCTAAATGTTGTCCTTGTTTCCCACCTTATATACTTAGTTGATTTCATTTTCAGCATCAGTTTCTGAAAGACAAAAACTGCTGCTTCAATTTCCTCCCACTTAGCTGTTGTAATAGAAGCCTTTTTTTTTTTTTTTTAAGTTCTCAGTCTATTCCACCACATGCTGTTTTATGGAATCATGAAAGACTCCTATTTTCTTCTTCTTTTATTTTTTCCTTTGACCATGTTTGCTGGGTTTTTCCCCCTGCCCCAACCAGAGATGGTTGTTAGGAATTACCAAGTATAAGGATGTGTACATTTAATATTAGAATACAAAAAATGATCAGCATGCTATAATTTGCAAGCAGTGACAGCTTCCAAAATAAATGAATCCCATTCTACATAAGCTATGCTACCAGAAAACAAGTCCTAAAGTTCTCAGATCTCACTCATGTGGATGTGTATCACTTCCCTGAAAAGCGAAGGTCAGTGTGTAAGGACAGTTTTCATGTATTCATTTTCTTTAGGTTAGCAGAACTTATCTGAATCAAGCCTTACAACTTGAAAACAATAAAGAAACAGCACACAGGGTATCAGGGTGTCTTCATTTTAAACAAATAGTGGTCTGACACATACATGCATTCCAAGTGTCTGTTTCATTCCATGTATTTTGTTCCATCTTCTTCAGAAAGGAAACAAGTTTTTTCTTAGATGCAATTACTGTATTTATTTATTTATAAACTCAGCTACACAAAAACTGTATGAAGATAAGAATGACATCTTCTGCAAATATCTTTTTACAAAGACCTGAATTCTTACAAATATATTTATGCCGTTAATTGCCTGTACTTGCTCAGTAGACACTAAAGGCCTTGTGCAGTCTTCAGGAAGTTTCTCTAAACCAGTAACCACAAATCTTTAAATGCTAATTTCTAAACAAATGTCAAAAACTATGTTTGCCATAGCTGAGTGTTTCAGTGTAATCCCTGACACCTGCTGCGTATGGACATTACCAATTCAGAAAACTCTGATTTATATTGCCCTAATGATGAGTGGACATTCTTCTGCATTTCATGAGGTTTTTTTAAATGTTCAATTTTTTTACTTCATCACTGACATTTATTTAGAATAGCATTAATTATTCCTTCTATTTCTTTTAAAAGCAGAAAATAAATGACATAGATATAAATCTGAAATAGCCCTCTTGTTCCAAGGCTTTTTAATTTCATGCTTGTCACTGTATGACACATCCTTCTCCTGTACTTAGAGGATCCTAACACCTGAAAACTTATGAAGTACTCCAATTTTAAGACGCAATTATCATGTTTATCTTTATCAAAATCAAGATACAGCAGAAGTTTTAAGATTTTTTTAAAGTTTTTCTCAAGTGCCAAACTCATATTAATGGACAAATCTCAAGATATGTCAAATAAGCTAATTTTTCTTTGAAAGTCTGGGCCTTTTAGAACTGTTTAAATTTCTAACCAGGGAAAAAAACCCAACCCTCTATGCTATAATAATCAGTAAAAAGAATTTACAGAACTGCTTTTTTCAAGCAATAAACTGTAAAGTTCTAGTTTGAAAAATACTGTAATTCAGATTTGTAATGTAACAAAACCTTTGATGCAACAAAACTACTCCAAGTTCTGCATGTCCTTCCAACCGTTCCAAAGCACATGAAAACTGTTTAGCTTAAAGTCAATTTTGCTATCAGGACAGAGAAATCACTGAACCACAACTTAGCAAATTATATCAGTCAGTATTTTCAGGTCGCCTGGGTTTATAGGAATGAATGACAGTGGTCTCCCAGGAAAAGATTGTTTCACAAGTCCCTCCATCAATTAAATAATTCTGCTGACCATTGATACAACAGCATTACTTTAATAGCCTAATTACCTGTGAATATAGTAGCAATTAAAAAGATCCAGGAACAAAACTGAATTAAGCTTCAAAAATCATTATATACAACACACCCAGGCACTGTAATAAATGAGATATCATTGCACTGTAATAAATGAGATATCATTACAATTTACTATTTATATTAAGACAAATAAACAGCTGCATTCAGTGAAGAACAGGTGAGGTTCTCATGAGTATTTATATCATCATGAGTCTCAATACAGAGAGAAAAGATGTATTTCAAGAGTACACCAAAATATTCAAAGACTGAAAAGATACATACCACTAAGAATTCCTTTTTGTCCACCATCTCATTGCCATCGGTATCAAACATGTTGAAAGCAATTCTAAAACCTGCATGTGGCTCTGCCAAAGAAGAAAAAAAAAACAAAAAAAAAACACCCAAACCATTCACTTACTTATTTGCTTGCAAAGAAAGCACATTAAAAACTCTGAGAAATTATCTGGTGTCTGTTCATAGAAACCATATCTTCAACTAATTTAAACTAATATATCTGTGTATCTAGTAAATGCAGATCATAACATCTGTAAAACAATATTATCCATGATATGAAAACAGAAGGCATGCTCCGAATTTCATAGATCAGGGAAAATGGACAGTAGAAATTGAACATAAGATAACCAAGAAAAATATCTCATAGTAATGGCTGGTTGGGTAGTTAAGAGTGTTAATTCATACCCACAGTCCATCTGATGTTAGAAAATAAAATTTCTATGAAAACAGCATTCTAAAAGACATTTTAAGAAGTTATGCAAAAAAAGGTGTAGGAGGCAACTTCCGGCCCGAAAAAACGTGTTCAAAGAGACCCAGGATTTTCTTCTTTACATGCTTAGAGTGATTGAAATATGAAATCAGGTTAGATTTTTAAATTATTTCCAAAACTGTGGACTTTCAAGGTAACTAAGTGAAGATTTAAGGCAATATTTTGGTGAAAGGCAATGATTTGCAATCTGGATGAATTATGGCCAAAATTAGCCCAGATAACAAGAAAAGATGGAAGAATATTCAGCAGTTAGGGATTGTAAAGGTTCAGGGTCAAGTTCCTGCTCTGATTCACCATCAGAGTCCAAATCATGTCTAAAGAAAAATCTGATGAATCCAGTAGAAATTTTTTAATAACATACAGAGGAAACACAGAGACCTCTCAGAACATCAAAACAAAATCTGTATCAGGATCAGTTTACTCTAGCTCTAAGTTCTTCTACTTTGTTTTTATGGGTGGCAGAAGAGTAAGTATTCAATTTTGTTACTGTTTCCTAACATATAAAACAAATTTATTTTAGTTTGACAGATTTTATATTTTATATTCTATCATTGTCTCATCAATGTCACCCATAATGCACTAATAGGTGAAACAAACTAGTAATAAGCTATATTGTTCTCTTCTCCCTATATTCAATATCCTTTATGAACTTCAGTGAATTCATTTAAAAACTCTGTAGGAATTTCAAAGAAGAAAATAAATTTAAGCTTTTAACTGGGGTTTAGCTGAACTGTATGGCTTGACTGTCTCAACAGTCAGTAAAAGGCATTCTAGATACTGAAGCACTTAAATGAAACATAATACAAGACTCCAGTAGGACAGGCGATGTTCAAATAGACATAGAGATGCGTGATACATTTTTTTACAAACTGGGATATGCAGGGGAGGGGAAAAAAAACCCCAAACCCAAAAAAACAGGAGTATTGTAACATACAGATATCTCAGCTCTGAATGTGTTGCTGTAAGGAAATTTTCGGGGTTTTTTCCTGCAAAAATACTTACTTGTTAAAATACATAAGAGGAATAAATACTCTGTGTAAGATATCACACCTGAAGACAAAAAAAAAAAGTTACACCGTATTAGTTTCACCTTGTCTCCACATCATAAACTTGAAAATATTAACTCTATGTATAATCACAGAATCATAGGATGGTTTGGGTTGGAAGGGACCTTAAACACCATCCAGTTCCAACCCCCCTGCCATGGGCAGGGGCACCTTCCACTAGACCAGGTTGCTCAAAGCCTCATCCAGCCTGGCCTTGGACACTTCCAGGGATGGGGCATCCACAACATCTCTGGGCAACCTGTCCCAGTGCCTCACCACGCTCTCCGGGAAGAACTTCTTCCTGATGTCCAATCTAAATGTACCCTCTCAGTTTAAAGCCATTGCCCCTTATCCTGTCACTACAGGCCCTTGTAAGGTGTCCCTCTCCAAGAGGAATTTCTGTACGTGTGCATATGCATAATCATAATTCTGTGCACGGGGCTGTATTCAACCTGGTCAATGAGTCATTTGTCTAAAATATTCATCTATGGGGTGGGCTTTTTTATTTGGGTTTATCAGTATATTAGCGGAGGAACGCATTCAATATGGCAAATAAACAACTACAGTCAGTGGGGAATGGCTCATTAAACCGAAGCTGGATAGATTCTTAGAAACGAACAGAAATTATTTATTTGATTGTCTTTCTGAAAATGCCACCAGTAATTCATGGCAGCACTCTCTAACAGTATAAGAACACTTACTCTGAGAACAGTAACAGTGCTCTCTCCTGATACATGCCGTTTGAATACAGTTCTTGACTTTAATATGTGTTTTGTAAGTGCCCATCCTACATACTAATTGAAAGCTTGGTCTCCTGTTACTTATGAAAGCACACATTTTGGCTTTTGAGTTGTCTTTATATGCACATTTTCATAATAATCACTTGAAATTTATGTTAAAACTCTTACTAACTGAATCTGTAAATTTTGTTGAAAACCATTAGAGACATTTGTATTACCTCTTCTTCCACATTCAGAATATCTGTAACAAATACATTCTAAGCTTTTGATCTTTTGTTAGATGTCAAAAGGCAAACACAGTGTGGAATGGCAGTTCCTTTTCTCTTCAGACGCGATTCAGGCAAAATTTAAATCAGAGCTGAAGTCAATATCCAAAAGCTCTATGGCTTTTTAGCTCTTGGGTGAAGAGATAACCTTGCAGAAGGCCCACAGTACCAATGGAAATAAGCCTCTCACAGTTCAGCAAGAACTGAAAACAATGACTTGCAGCTCCCCCAAAAGCCCTTAACTCTAATAATCTTCAAAGCTGAACTAGCAAAACTCGTTCTTGATGTCTAACCAATTGATTTTGTCTGTTCTCTGAAACCAGAAGTGTTAAGTCAGTCCACAACATCAGACTATTTCAAAAGAGTGAAAAAAAAAGTATTTAGATGCCTGAGAGTAAAGATATCTATCAGCTGGGATTTTCAAAAGTTGCTGGCTGTCTCCTTGGTTCCAGTCCAAGTCAGGTGCAAAAGTTTTTAGAAAAACAGCTACCTCTTTGGATGTTTAAAAGATGTTAAAATATCTTTTAAAATCTGACTTAACTGAAAACATAACAAACTATGTAAACAGTCATCTGAATTTTTTCACTGAAAAACCTGTAAAATTAAAACTCAAAGCACTGTATCATTCATGTGGATTTTACAATTATTTGAACACATTTAACATCATCACTTTCAACACTCCCAAAGTAAGAAACTTTGGCATCTTCTACCAATATTTACAGCACAAAAACTTCTAAATGAATTCTGTCCTGAAATAATACTCAGGAGGGACTTTCTGTCCTCTTGGACTTGTCCAAATATCCAAATGCCTCTCCAAGCCTTTGATTGTACAATTTTCCTCCCTAAAAGCCAATTATCCCGAAAGGAGTGCCTTTAAGAAAATGATGTCTACTATCCTTAAACAAACAAACAAAATAACCAACCACAGACATCTCCACAAATATCACAGAGACTGGAATATAGAGGCAATACAAAAGAAGGACTAACTAAACGGTGTTTGGAATGAAATCACATACCCGAAAGAAGCACTAACCCCCTCAATCTTTACCAGCTGAAACACTGCCCTCCCAACTTCCATTCCATTCATGAAATAGATATATATATAATTTTTTTTCCCCACCTTTGATCCAAGAGCAAATTTAATTCTTCAGAACCAGGATTTCACTACCGCTAATAGATCTAGTTAGGAAGGCTACTAAGTATTTTTACTACCACCTGCTCTTTTCCTCAATTTACACATAGCTCCACGGCAACTATTAACAAAGACTAGGTGCAAGCATTTATGGAAGGCATGCTCTGTGCTTTATCTTCTTGATTTCATACAGCAGCTTGCAGAAATTAGTTTTCAAAGGCCTGCTTGAATCTGTTTGGACAAGCAGCTATCAAGAAATCAGATAACCTCAAGGGTTCACATTCAGTGATGTAAAACATTCTTTAATAGCCAGTCAATAAATGTAAATATGTATTTATGTTTGTTTGATGACACCTTCTTTGTTGTAAAACTGAGGAAGAAGGTGCAATTGTCAAGTAGTCCGTCACAGGTATGAAAAGAGCAATGTGAAATGCCTTGAAAGCATTTTCTCCTTCTGTTTGTACGTGTAGCTGTGGACAGACAGTTCTGGTTGATTGCTCTGAGTGTTACGGGAGAGAGGGTCCGAAATCAGGATTGAACAGAAAGAAAAGCGTACACTAAGAAAGAACAGAGGGATGTCACTCAAGGGTAAAACATAAATAAAAAACTCCATGTTAACTGGCATAAACCTATGTGGCTCACTGATTTAAATGAATCTGTGGCAAAATAAACGGACTTTTACTATCGGCTTCATTTTAAAATGTGCATATTTTAAAGAAAATGAGTAAATCAGTCTTGAAGGAGACCTGAATTCTATTCCTGTTACTAGCTTACTGCACAACCTTATCAGTTAAAAGACCTATCATCTTTTCTTAGATTACCTATAAAATGGGATAACAGAACTCACTTTTTTGTAAAGCATGCTGAAAAGCTATATAAGTGCTAAAGTTTATTACTAATTTTACCAGCTTATTATGCCAGTTTTAATTCCAACAACTTCTCTAGAATTTCACTGGCAGAAAACTGGAGTAAGGTATTGCTGAATCAAGACTACATGTGTTGCCACCAATTTATTTCTGATTTAGTAAGTGACATCCAGGTATGGGTTTTTTTAGACTGACAATGTATTGATTTAACAGAATCTGAAGATGAATTTTTACATAATGAGTATTTCAGAAGACAGCTGTTCTGAAAGCAGCCCAGAGCAAGGAAATACAGTGCAAAGATGTGTCAGTTTCTGGCTTTCTGGAGTTCTGGCTGCAGACTCAGGGGAAAAAAGTGAAAGCCTCCATGCAGTAGATATTTGAGGCTGGAACCCTCCTCTGAGTGTAGGTGCATACTTACTCCTTTAATAAGCTTCAGCTGCATTTGAATTAGATTCATCAGTTATCTGCACACATTTGACTGGAATTTTGTTGTTAGCCTGCTTATTTTAAACATTCATAAAGTGTTTTGATTTTACAGCAAGTACTTGTGGCTGCTTTCAAAAATATTTAAAATGCTCCACCAGACCTCTGCCATTCTGAATGTAAGCAAAGAAATACGTGGATTATTTATCATAAATAGCTTTTAAATGTCTGTATACAAGCCATCATAGTGTCTTTTTTCCCTGTGCTTTTTGAAGTGATAGATCTTATTAAGGGAAAAAAGAAAACAAAGAGGAGACCAGGAGTGTGGCTCCTGGCCCTTCCTTTACCAATAGGGTGAGTTTTAAAAGCTATCAAAGCCCTCGTCTGCAGAATTCAAAGGGATATGCAGCTCTCAAACCTTCTCTATGTTGTGAAGAAAATGCTTATTAAATGATATATGATACCATTATTGTCTTTAAAAATAATCTTATCTTTGAACCTATTAAAAGAGTAAAGAGATATTGTGTCTTTATTAGAATATTCTGTCCATGGTCTATAGATCATTCTTCATCACAACAAACTGAACCTGAAACATTCAAACAAACTACAATACCAATTCACACTTAGAGGCTAGCTGTAAGCTGGCATGATTAAAACACACTAGAGACTAAAGGGAACTTTCCCATGCTGTAAAATGCAGAAAGCAGTTCTGAAGATATGACTCAGATTGACGTACAACATCACTTCAGACACAATAAATTAATACAAGTGATAATTGGTTTCAGGAAAATAAATTCTTATTCCCCCACCTTTCTCATTAAGATTACGGAAAAGTTTGGATGATCCTTTCCAAACTGGTGGTGTCTCCATAAGGATCTGATTCAACTCCTAAAAAATAAGATTTAAAAAAGATAAAAGTATGTATTTAAGTATTTCTAATGCAGCAGTTAACAGATTATGACTCAATGCTAGGAAATCAATATAAAAGACAAGGAACTGCATGCAAACCTTCCAGTTAATTCAACTTCGATTTACCACAATGACTTTGGAAGTACTCAAGCACATATATAAATTTTGCACATATGATTATTCCGAGAATTTCTCATCTGAATGAATACTAAGTGTTTGCAGAGTTGGAGAGAGACATGTAACGTACTTGTTGCTGAAATTACTCACCACTGCCCACATTCACTGAAGCCAAGGATAAGTCCCCCTGGATTTCAGTAAGGATTTCACACAAGCTCCAAGCAACTGTTCTTTTAAAACATTCAACCTGACCTAAAGCAGACTTCACCCAAGAATATCAATGTACTGTACTTAAAATACAGGGATACATACAGATTCTTTCTGCAGTTGTACAAATGAAAAAAAAAAACCCACCACCAAACCAAAAAACCCAAGTAAGAGGCACTTCACCACCACAAAAGGTGGAGAGTGGCATCAGCATTTCAGGCAGCTTTGGATACACCTGTTCCACTTAAGGCACCAAAGAAACTCAGTCAGATATGGGCTGAGGAAGGAACTGACAGAGGCTTGAGAAAGTCAGTAAATCCAACAAAACAAGCACAGCTGCTCAAGTATCTTTGAGATTCTGGATTCAGTTGAGTCTGAAGTGAGAAAAACGAGGAAATCAAAGTGTCTCTCTCTCTTTTTTTTTTTTTTTAAAGTAAAGATTTAAAAACTCCTTTCTTTTTCCTGTGACTCCAAGTTTAGAACATGAAAGAAATAACCATAGATTTTGACATTGTTACCAAGACAGTACAGGAATTGTTACCCACCTGTTTTGAAAGGGATCGCCACCTTTTAGCACCTGCAACGAAAGAAAAAGTTATGAACGTACAAAATTCGGTTATGTCAATCTGGTGTCATAAAAATTAGACTGCATCTATATACTGTGTTTTCCAGCCAAAGAAGAGGTATTTCCCCTACCTCATTAGGCTAATCTTCAACCTGGTTCCAAAAAAACTCTCTTTATGTTATTAAAAACATAATTATATTAATATATACCTAAATTTCTAACTTTAAAGAATCAACACATGTATAGTTTTTAATCTAACTCTGTTTCAGTGAGAGAAAGGACTTTTTACCTCCAAAATACACCACTAATACATGAAAGGGGAAATAGAGGGCATTCATGTTAACCTGTGCTACCAGCCTCCTGAAACGATTATTTAGTAGCAGTAGTTAGTATTACAGTGCAGATTGTGGGGAGACCTGGATTGTGGCCCTTGCTTCAGGGACTACACATACCTTTTAAACCAAATACAGAAAAAAAACCCATTGAAACTACACTGGGTGCTAAGACTCCCTTCAGCCATTCCCAATGATCAGATTCATGCTCACGTCAGGCTCAGTTTTCTGTAAGCAGTTTTAACAGAGGAGCTGAAGAGGGCCTCCAGTGCAGAACTAAAAGTGCTCATTAACACTGAAAACAGCTAATTAAGACTGAGCAGATGCTTTCTTCCTAATGCTTTACAAGACAGACTGGGGGAGCAGAAAAAGATACTTGCATTCAGCAACAGTTTTCATAACCAACCAAGAATTCAAGACTTGAGGTTCATGGCCAAATTCTCAAGCCAAACATTTGCAAACATGGAATATTCAGATAAAGCACTGTGAATATCAGAATTCACAAAGGTACAAAAAGTAGCATAGTATGTGGTCAAAACTGCAACTTTTTGGTTGGTAAATGCTCATTTTTATAGATCAAAACACTCAGTGGTATTAGACATCCCTTCCTCATGATGAACCCCATGCTCTATTAAATTATCGTGATACAGAAGCTACTCAGTATGGTCTTTCATTGGTTCATGGTTAGAAATTCGCTGAAATTTTAGTTTTACATCTTGGTCAAGGTTAGCACCAAAACTGTCCGCAGTCCACTATGGTACAGTTATATCAAGCATATAACATCATAATATGAGCTAACAGATTTTTAAAACTTTCAGTTTAGTTTTTTTAGTCTTGTCTCAAAATATGAGAGAAAATAATAAAAAATAAAATAATCTCATTTGCCATACAAATCCATGTATGTTTATGCCTAGCACAAAAACCTTGGGAAACAAATATATCTAACTGTCCAATCAGATAATTTCCCAGTCTCATGTATTATATATAGCTTTTCTTTATAGACAAGCAAGTGAAGATTTATGTGTATATACATGCTTCTTACAGCTCAGTGTTAGACTAAAATTATAATAATTAGAGCTAATTGGAACAAAATATATTTCCTCTTAATTTGCTTTCTAAATATATAAACGTATATTCAGATGATAAAAATGTTATCAACGGGGCATGACTGTTGAAAATATTGTATTTTCCCAAATGGAAGCCTGCATCATAAAGGCAGCAGCAAGTTAAGTACAGGATTTATTTTATATTTTTTTATATAACAACTGCCTGGAGTCAAAAGTTATATTTTATAAAAGAAAATATTGGAAACTAGTTAGTGTTTGATCAAAAAAGGAAGTGAACACCCTCTTGACTTCTGTAGGGTGTACAAGATCTCCAAAGTAAATCAATCACAATAGACGCATTCACTCCATCACAAATCTTATTCAGGTCTAGTATTATTAGCTTTTCTACAAAGCAGACATAAAGAGCTACTATTATTACTCTTCAAAGGGCATTTTTGCTTTTTGAGAAAACTCAAGACCTTTCTAATCTTCATCCATTAAAAAGCCCAGGTTTATGTTCTTTCTGTTTTCTGCAAAATATAGATGCTCTCGTAAATGGGCCTGAACGGACCCATTTACAAATTGTAACTTATTTACAAAACAATCCAAAAGTACAAAATATGAAGTTTAGAATGTATTAATTTATTCAGAACTACCTTCCATAGAGCAAGACAGAAAATTAAGACTTGCCCAAACAGACAACGTGGTACTTTGACAAAGCTACAGTACAAAGGTTAAAATTAACACAGTCAGAGATGAGAAGGTGGAAGTGATAATACCTGCAGGTCACCCACATCAGCTATTACTTCCCTAATTATCAGCCTCCTGTCCAAGTGTAACAGATGACTTCCACCAGAATGAAGTCATCCCCTTCTACTTAGTTACAGCCTCTTACACCATCCCTTAAAATAATTCTCAGCCATGTAATCTCTGAGACTAGTCTATAACACTGAAGGACATCCAGGTTAGTTCTGCTTTCAGTCTCAGAGGATGCACTCTGAGAGGATTTTGACACAAATCAGGTTTGCTACACTGAACTCAGAAGGGTGCCTGACTTCAACTCCAGTTCTATTCTCCCTCAGCATGAGACGAAGAGAATGTCCTTGTGTGCTTAACCCTTCCTGGTTTGGTTTTTAAAATCTGAATACTTGCTGTGAGAGAGGAAGAAGCATAAATTCCATAAGCATGGAAAAAATTTTAATAGAAAACCACACATACAGTGTGGTCAAACCAGTCAAACTGTCATAAAACGGAGTTAAAACAAAATGTTTAACTCATGTCCAGTACATGGCACAAATGCTTCATGGTGAAACCCAATTCCTCAGTAATTAAAACCCAAGGAAGACTTGGAGATCTGGCAGAGGAAGTAGGTATGAAGTGTTCGTGTGCACTTGTATTAACTTCTGTGATAAGGAATCTGCTTCTCTTTTAACTGCAGAGCAAGAAAAGAGAATGAAGATTTGCTTTCTGCCAAGTTTCAAAGTTTTGCAAATTTTCACCATCTAAGCTCTATCTTGTGTCTTCCCTGTTACAATGAGATTACATCTTTATTCAAGTTATAGAAGTTTTGGTCGGTGATGTGCCACGGCTGAATGTCTTCCTCTTGTTTCATTACCGTTAAGAGAACAAAGGGGGGAAAACCTAACATCTGCACAGAGCTTTCAGCTCTCCTCTGACTGTTTTAAATGTTTTTGACTGTTCTCCATACCAGCTTTGTGGTGTAGACGTTAGCAAGAAAGACCTAAAGGTGAGTTATTATAGATGTCACACCTGAGCAAAGATATTCACTTTCCCCAGAAGTTGTGTGCTGCTACCAACGCACTGCAAGCCTGAGGGCCAGGAAATCAAACTAGATCAGAAATGGATCACCTTACTATTTAGTTACTCTTTGATACTTAAAGCAAAAAATTTTACAATAAGTGAATTAAAGTTGATAGTTTATTTTTCATTAATTTAATTAACACACAGCGCTAACTCTGGCAACTTTTAAGTGTAGAAAGAGGATCCCCTGAGGGACGAAACTCTTAGTTAAAGCATGTTATTTAGAAAGCCATGATATGGTTATAAGATCTCTGTAGCGAAAAAAAATCCCAACACGATAGTAGATGACAATTTAAGATGGCAAAAACTGCAAAACAATGTTATCCTAGATTATTTAGAGAACCCCTATCTTGCCTGCCTATTTACACAGAAACTATACAGAGGAGGAGGTAAGTTTTAGAGCAACACTGGACTACTCAGAAGAAAATGGTAACTGTACTGTGTCCAT